GAGATCTGGCAATATGGTGATGGTTAGAGGAGAGATCTTCCTATGAAGGGTGAGGTGTGGGTGAGTGGTGACAGTGGCAATTAACTTCATTTTCTCTCCCCTTCCCTGTTCCCGCCTATTTCATTTTTCAGTAGCCTTAGTGATATGAGGATATGTGATATGTGGATATGAGGATATAGTGATATGTTTTTTGTGCGCGAAGCGAAAGTTACTCTTCTTGTGGGTTGACTGTGGATCTAAAACTCAAGGTTATAAAAGACCTGTATTTCTCACTATATAAAATACTGAAAATTTGTGCTGATTTTATAACAAATTTTATAAATGAAAATAAAAGTACATATACGTGGACAGTTGAGTACATTTTTTTTAATTAATTGGGATGTTGTCAGCTATTTCAGCCCCAGAGAGGCCAAACATCAGCTCAATATTGCTCTCCAGAAATTAGAGAAGACACTAGATAAAACCATCCTATGGAAATGGGATTGTCTTGCACTTGTCCCTGACTATGGAGCTTATATCTTGAACACTTTGGTCCTTAGACCCCCACTCCCCACACCATAGTATGTAGGAGGGACCTTCTGAAAAGAGCTTCTGACTCAGTAGGCCTGGGCTGAGGCTTGACTGACTAGATTTAAAAGAAGCTCCTAAGTGAAGCCAATGCTGCTGGTTCACAAATCAAACTTTGAGTACCAAGGACTTAGAGTATTAGCCTAAATAATTTTATTTTCTAATATGCAATAATAACTCATATGATCAATGTAGTGCTTCAATTTGTTGAGCATTAGGCATGCCCCAAGCACTTGCAAGAACTTTATTTGTATTATTTAAGTTACTTTTCTCAATAGTTCATTCGAGTAATTATTATTATGTTCTCCATTTTACAATCAGGAAAATGAATCAAACATAGGCTAACTAATTTATCTAAAGTCACATAGCTAATATGGAGAGGGTGGATGTGTAACAAATGGTCATTAAAGAAACATCAAGAAACTGGGAAACACTAAGTATGAATAAATGTCACTCATGAATATTGTCACTCTAGGGCAGTGACTGAAAATCATTTTCTGTAAAGACCCAAATAGTAAATGTTTTGGGCTTTGCGCGTCTCTGTTGTAGCTACAGTCATCTCTCGGAATCTGCAGGGGATTTGTTCCAGGACTCCCAGCAGATACCAAACTCCATGTATGCTCAAGTCCCTGATATAAAATGGCATAGTACCTGCATGTAACAAATGCACATCCTCCACATCCTCCTCTATACTTCAAATCATCTCTACATTACGTATAATACCTAATACAATGTAAATACTATGTATGTAGTTGCTATATTATATTGTTTTTATTTATATTATTTTTATTGCTGTATTATAATTTTTTATTTTTTTCAAATATTTTTGATCCACAGTTCGTTGAATTCACAGATGTTTAATGCATAGATGCTGAAGACTGACTGTACTCTACCATTCGAGTGCAAAAGCAGCTAGTAAAAACAGCCATAAACAATATATAAATAAATAGGCATGGCTGTATTTCAATAAAACTTTATTTACAAAACTGGAGCCTGCTGGTCATAGACATAGTTTGCTGACCTTCTGCTCAATAATAACCAGTATTATCATGAAGGTTGGTATTTTTGTTTTGTTTTGTTTTGTTTTTTCTGAGAGCTATAGAGTAGTTATATGATTAAGTGGAAGAACATAAAAATAATTTTAAGAGTGCCATATATAGTTGTATTTTACATTGTTGTATAAACAATTTCATTATTAAGTGCATAAATCAATAAAATATTGAAGCCATTATGGCATACAGTTTTAAAAGTAGTAGCAGCTTTTAGTTACAATGTGTAAAATCTGTGCAAGTATCAAGAAGATGTTAAAATCACCCATGCTTTCAGAGACACCCACTCTTTAAACTTTGGAGAAATTTTTTCCTTTTGCTCTTTCTTCAGTATATACATGTATGTACATGAGAGCTTATTATTTAAATCAGTTCTGTGTTCAATATCTTCCTTGATAATACATGGTGAATATTTTCAATTTTACTTATAATTCTTGAAAAACACTGTGCTTAATTGCTACATAGCATTTCACTATTTTAAATTCACACAGATGAGGTGTCTTTCCTTCCTGTTTCTCATTCTAGTGTGTCTCTAAGTTTTCTTCCCCACAAATCTCCCAGGAGTCTCTTGAAAAGTCAAAGTGGCTTCATCTTCTAAGACCTGACCTTGTGTAGCCACTACGGTCACTTTACACTGCTCTTTTGAGGATTAAATAAAATAATCCATGTAAAATACTTAACAATGGGATTGTGAAAAGCTGAATTCCATATTTTCACTCACTTATTTCTGGAAAGGTTCATGTTCTCAGGCTCTGTATTTCCTTAACAGTCTTCTTACCTTTGCTTCTACGTATGCATCAGGTGAGAGGTGAGGTCTCTTGAGACTCACTCAGGCACTCGGGTCATTCTCCCTGTAGACCACCATGGTCAGGAGTCATGGTGGACAGCATGTGGGACTCCAGATTCTGAGTCTGCCCCTGGAAAGGGGCTGACCTGCCAGGGAGGCTCCTGGTATTCCCTCACTGGGCTTTCAATAGCATCTCTCCTCTTACCCTATCAGGATGGTACAAGCTGATCCTCAGAAGGGAGACTGGGGAAAAAATACGTTGCAATCTTCAAGGACTGTAAGTAGATTGCATGCATGGCAATATGCTGTCAGATATCCATAGTACTAAAGGTATCAATAGGAGAAAATTTTCGAAACTAAGGATTTTTCATCATTAATTTCTTTGTTGTTTGAAAGTGAGTTTCAAAGAAGTGAGAGAGGACTTTTACAGTTTTACAGTTTACACTTTGTTTCATTATTTTTTGAAAGTTCCCAACTACCCAATGATTAATCATGGAATACACATAAAATAATTGTTAATCATTATTTCTTATTTATTAATTTATGAGGGGTATCATGGTTATTTCCTTTATCGATGCAGGGAGCATGTATTATCTTTCTTCTTAACTATCTAATCTTATTTTACTCAGGAGTTTTAGTTTTCTTTGCAGAACCCTGAAAGACAGGATCTCCAAAACATAGCCCCCACCCTGAGATCCCCCACTGTGCCTAGGAGCTGGGTTCCAATGCACATTGCTTGTTTCGTCCCAGCACTAAGCCCTGAGTGTGAAGTGAGCTGCATGCTCTTCCTCTAGGACACAGGATTTATACTTTCATCTGTCATATAACCCAAACAGCTGATTGTCTACTTATAGATCTACTTGTCCCTAGATTTCTTCAGGAAGGCCTCAGGGTGCTAATAAAAAGCATACAATTACTATGTTTGACAGATCATTCTAACTTTGAAAACCTCCAATGCAATTGAACCAAATGGGAAAATAGTGATAAGAACAGGGAATATCTGTGTAAAATATATACCGCTTCCTGCCTTCATTCTGAACCATTTAGTTACTAGAAATCTCTACGTAGTGAATTACTAGACAGATGAATTTTGCTCTAAGCCACCCACCCTGTATTTTCAGAGTTCTCAGATATCCTAATGTTGTGGGAAATAGTGTCAAACTGTTCCTAATTCGGATACTAATTGCTGACACCGATATGGGATTGGGGGAGGGAAGTGCTGGGAAGGGAAGGGTGTGGTCCCTGTCGAGGGCTCCACCCCCGGGCCTGTGTCCACGGACCTCGGTGAGGACAGGCACTCCTGCCTCGGCGCCCAAATGTTGCATTTCCCAAGACCACCCTGGCCCACCACGCCCCCATTCTGTGCCTATAAAACCTCCGAGACCCTGGCGGGCACACACAGAAGTGGTTGGACATCGAGAGGAACACCGCTGTGGAGAAGCACACCTACGGGGACTGGCAGGCTGCAGGCCATCGACTGGAGGAACAAAGCGGAGTTTGGCCGGGGCGGCTGGAGGAAAGCCCGGCCGCTGAGCTGTCAACTCCAGGGGAAAATCACCTTCCTACTCCATCCTTCTGGTTCCTCCACCTGCTAAGAGCTGCTTCCACTCAATAAAACTTTGCATTCAGCCTGGTGCGGTGGCTCACGCCTGTAATCCCAGCACTTTAGGAGGCCAAGGCGGGCATATCACGAGGTCAGGAGTTCTAGACCATCCTGGCTAACACGGTGAAAACCCGTCTCTAGTAAAAATACAAAAAATTAGCCAGGCGTGGCGGCGGGCACCTGTAGTCCCGGTTACTCAGGAGGCTGAGGCGGGAGAATGGCGTGAACCCGGGAAGCGGACCTTGCAGTGAAGGAGATTGCACCACTGCACTCCAGCCCAGCGACAGGGCGGACTCCGTCTCAAAAGAAAAACAAAACAAAACAGAAAAAACTTGCACCCATTCTCCAAGCCCACATGTTATCCAATTCTTTCAGTACACCAAGGCAAGAAACCCCGGGGTACAGAAAGCTCTCCGTCCTTGTGATAAAGCAGGGGGTCTTACTGAGCTGACTAAAACAAGCCACTTATGGACAGCCAAACTAAAAGAGCACCCTGTAACACAGGCCTACTGGGGCCTCAGGAGTTATAAGCATGCACCCCTAGACACTGCTGTGGAGTTGGAGTCCCACAGCCTGCACGTGTGCATGCTCCCCCTAGAGGTTTGAGGAGTGGGGCACCAAAAAGTGAGCCACATCCTCATCGCACGCCCTGAGAGGGGACAACAGAACTTTTCCCGTTTCGACACCATGAATCACGGATGTGATTCTGCACAACAAGGGAGCGGAATCTAAGATGTCTTCCTGCAACTTTCCAGAAGAGCTGCAGGGAGGGCAGGCTCTGGCTGGGCACCCAGCTGAGCAACCCGCTGTGGTTGCCCATACGGAGAAGGATGTGGATGGGCACAGACCTGGAGATAGTTTCAGTGTAGGTTATCTTGACAACTCTAACCCTGTGGTGCCTAATCCAGCAGGCACAGTGGTACACCACCTCATCTTCTTTCTCTAAGAAATTTATTTTCAAAGTGGAAGCGGAAGTGTGAGCATTTTTACTTACCTCAAGTTTCTTAGTCTTCCCACCTGAGCCATCTTGAGCAGAGATTGCCAAGAAGACATGTAATAAATATTCTAAGCCTTGGTTTGGTTTCTGCCAGTATGAGTGTATGATTTTACTGCTAAAGCCTTGGATGGATGCCTTTCAAGATATGTGGGCACTCTTATTTGTTGGTCTGGAAATATATATTTCAGGTTGCTCCAAATGCCGAAGTCCAATCGCAAGTGAGGAAGAGAAATTCCCATGAGCCAATGATACGTGACGAGGTAACAATACAGAATGATTTCAGTCTCTTCTGTAGACTGAAATGATTAGGGGGTAACTCATAAGCCCAGAGGGAGAAGAAGATAATGGTTACTACCAGTGGCATGCTTTCTGCCAGTCTGGTTCCCCACGGAGAAGGTAACCCTATTAGCTGGAGGTCTCAAGTCAGTGGCTGGAAGGCAGGGCTGTTGAGGTCTCTCAGAAGTACTAGATCAGGTGGTTTCTTGAGGTTCTTCACGAGCTGCTACAGTTATGAGCAGTTCCAGGGTTTCCTGCACCCCGTGAGTGCTGGGCAGATGGGGTAAGTGGGTTAAGTGGTACACATACATAATGACGCTATCGCGTCTTAGTATTACTACGAAACAAGAGAAAATTACTTTGTTAAGTATATCTTACAACAAAACCTTAGTTTTTCCCTTAAGAAAATATATAAAAATTAGTAAAAGTACATAGAATAATTTAAATGATTATTCCCTTGGGAATAATTATTCTAAAATTTTGGATAATTCCTTTCTGTTTTTTTAAAAATTATTCTATCAACACAGACATTTATATTTTAAGAGGTTTTGTACACTTCAAGAACTTTACATTGTATTGTGAAGATGTTTGAATTTTATTAATAAATGCATAAAATATCATTTTACCAGGCTACACAGTATTCTATCATTTGAATGCACTATGAATCCAGTGTCTCTTTCTTTGTTTATTACCATTTAGTCTGATCCTAAAAGGCTGCGGGAGAGCTCTGCTCTATGATCTTGACACAGGTGTCTGGCTGTGGATACCTCATTGCTGCTCTCTGAGGCTGTTTTGAATAGTAGATGAGACAACCACAAGAAGAGGGTGACACAAGTATTTCCACAAGGCCATCTATGCATCCCTGTCTGAAAACAGCTTATGCTCTCAGATTCGCTGTGTTTTTCCTCAGATCTTACTGTCTACTTTAGCTAATATTAAAGTTAACAAGTAAAGGCCCATATAGATTCGAGAAACCAAGTGTGGCCTACCCTGAGGGAACATGATGGTCAAGAATTACACAGACAAGATGTGGATCACAAACGGCTGAGGTGCATCGGGATGGGAGGATAAAGACTGACCGATTGTCTGATTCCAGCCCCAGGTCAGCCTTTCCTGGTACCCCCTTTATTTCCTTCAGTAGCCTTCCTGGGATGATGAGGGTGAATATGTTATCCTGACCTTGGAAACTATCGAATAAATAAGACAACACATGGCACAAATGCAAGGTGGTATCTATATTTTTCCATGGGGTGCCTAGTATGTACTGCTATAGGAAAAGTACGTGGATTAAAGGTATTCTTCATTTTTCTTAATTATTTTAGATATGGCATCATAAAATAATCTAATTTGTATCACTTTATATTTTTAAAAAAATTGATAATTTATTGTGATTTCACTTATTCAACCAGGATTCCTAATTGAGCAAATGCTAGTCACCTGATTCAGTTCAAAATAATAATTATGCCAGTAAATGTTTTACAAAAGTTGTCAGTATTGTCTTCTCCATGGGAGTAGGAACAATGTACTTCTCTTCACCCTTCTGTGATTAAGGAGTACAGACTCTGGAGCCAGATTAGCTGGGTCCAATCCTACACTGCCACGAACCAGCTGTGGGACCTGGATGAGTGGCTAGGACACATAGATCTCACTTACCTGAGTAAAATGCACTTCTGTTCATAACAGAACAGACCTCAGAGGTTGCCAGAGGTTAAAGGAGTTAATAAATGCAAGATATGGCTCATTTAACAGTCTGATGCCTGGGGCTCTTTTCTGATGACATCACACTGCCACACCCCTTAGTGTGAAGTGAGGAACCATCTTCTTCTCTACAGAAAAAAGACACTTGCTCCACCCCAAAGTCACCTCAAAGAGTCTGTTTGTTGTACAACTGTGATTTTTAGATATTCAGGGTGGCCTCATGATCCTGTTTCAAAAAACAAAAAACATGCACTTCTTGTCTTCGACCAGTCACTTTAACCTTGTAAGCTTTAATTTCTTTATTATATGGGCAAATAATAGTTCTGTTGCAGGGGTGTTGTGATAATGATATATGGGATTCCTGATACACAACGATTCTCTTCCTTGGCCTAAGCCATTTGCAGTTAATAGAAGTCTCTGGATGCTGACAGGAATGGGGTCTTAGCCTGTGTCCACTCATTCCCATAATTCATTAGGAAGTAGTGTTCAATGAATATCGGGGAATGTCATGATCAGGCATGCTTCCTGCTTAAAACATTAACCCAAAATGGCTTCCTACAAAGATCCAGAAGTGCTGCAGAGAAGGCAAGGTTGAGGCTGGGAGCCCAGCTAGGAGTCCATAGCGTTTGCTCCCACGGGAAGAATGTGGTTGGGCAGAGACCCAAGAGAGGATGTTGTGTGGGACAGTGTGGCACTGATGCTGTGGGTCCTAAGCAGTGCAGTAGTAAATGGCCTCCACTTCCTTTTCTATGAAGTTTATAGTAAAGACTTAAGTAGACATTTGAAAATTTGCTCTTACCTCAAGTTTGTTGTTTTTCTTACCTAAGCAAACCCGAACTGGGACTTTTTATTGAAGTTTATTATTTACTTTTTATTGAACTGGGACTTTTATATGTCAGATGGTTCATAATTTAGATTCAGTTTCTGCTGGTACCAGTGTTAACTATATTTACAAAGTCTTCAGTGGACACCACACAAGATACCTAGACACTTTTATCTGTTGCTCTGTTGACAAAAATGTAGTTGACATTTTTTATTGCTTTAAATTTAACTTACCAAGTGCAACTGCAAACAGAAAAGAGAAGTCCCCATGAACCTGGGACATAGAAAGAGGAAATGATAATGAAACACTTTCATCTGGCCGGGTGTGGTGGCTCATGCCTGTCATCACAGTACTTTGGGAGGCCAAGGAGGGCAGATCACTTGAGGCCAGGAGTTCAAGACCAGCCTTGCCAACATGGCAAAACCCTGCCTCTACTAAAATAAATAAATAAATAAATAAATAAATAAATAAATAAATAATCTAGGTGCAGTGGTGCATGCCTGTAATCTTAGCTACTCTGGCGGCTGAGGCCCAATGGAGAAATGCTTGAACCCTGTAGGCAGAGGCTGCAGTGAGCTGAGATCACGCCATTGCATTCCAGCCTGGATGACAGATCGAGACTGTCACAACATAAAAGAAAAAAAAAGAATTACTTTCATCTCTCATCTATGTTGAAATATTGAGGAGCAACTCACAGCTGCAGAGGGAGAAAAAGATGAATATTCCCAGCAGTGATATGCTGCTGTCTGCTGAACCATATCCCCAGGAGAAGGACTCTGGTTGCTGGCTGGCCCCAGTCAGTGGGGAGAGAGCGTGGCATGACTTGGTGAGAGAGAAAAATGTGGCGAGTCAGGTGACTTCTGGGGACTTGATGGCCTACTGCCGAGCTGAGCAGTTCCCAGGAGCACTGCACTGATCACTGACGCGGTGTAGAGTGCATTACCTGACAAGAATGTGTCTGTGGAACCGGATGGGGGCAGCTCTAGAGCTGAACTAATTCTGCTTCAAACTTAGCTGTTCCCTCCTTGATTTTCAGACTGTACAATATTATTCCAGATATATGAGCATGCAGCTTTCTTTACCTCACATAAAAATTGAGCCCTCTGTTAATCTTTTGGGGATTCAGGACTCAGGAGTATAAAACATGGACAGTATTTTACAATTTTAAAAAAGACAAACTGAAATTTTACACTAGCATTATTCATACCTCATTTTAAAAGCTCTAGTCATTTCTATTTGAAATACAGTAAAGTATTTGGTTTATAATTAATTGGGATGTCACAATGCAGATTATAACTCAGAGAAATCCAATTTCACTTATAATGAGGGTGCGCCTCAAGAGGAAACTTGATTGAAATTGCTGGAGGGACCGACAGGGCAGTCTGTGGGGACTTGCCTTGGAATTTGGAACTATCTCATGAACACTATGTCACAGAGAGGGGAGTTTTTAAATAAAGTTCATTTTTACATGTAATAATAAATCTTTAAAATTAACGTTATATCAAACATCTATTGTAGACTTGCTAACATTGTTCTAAACATTTTCTTCCATTACTTCCTTCACACTTCTCACCAGTGTTGAGAGGCAGTGGTATTATTATCTCCCTCTGATAGACAAGAACAGTGTGGCGCACATGACGTCCCAGATCACAAAATTGTGGAGCTTGGAAAAGTACCCAATCCTCACTGAAGAAAACCTCACCAAATGTTGCAAAATGATGAAAATATTTTGAGAAGATTCTAGTAGAACGTTAATTAATTAATTAATTAATTAAAATACAGAAAATAAGAGCAACCAGAATTTATTTTTAAGCATGTTCTCTACACATTTGTAGATAGTAATATATTTGTTTGGATCATTACACAGGATCGCAGGATTAAATTTTTTTTTTTTTTTTTTTTTTTTTTAGACAGAGTCTCACTCTGTCATCCAGACTGGAGTGCAGTGGTGCGATCTCGGCTCACTGCAACCTCCACCTCCCGGATTCAAGCGATTCTCCTGCCTCAGCCTACTGAGTAGCTGGGACCACAGGCGTGCACCACCAGGCCTGGCTAATTTTTGTATTTTTGGTAAAGACCGGATTTTACTATATTGGTCAGGCTGGTCTCAAACTCCTTACCTCATGATCCGCCTGCCGTGGCCTCCCAAAGTGCTGGGATTACAGGCGTGAACCACTGCACCCAGCCATGATTAAACATTTTTTAATGGGTTTTACATTTACAGTTTTATATTCTGTTCTTTTAATTTTATATTTAAAAATATATCAGGTCTTTCAAAAGCTCATCTGAATGTCACTATTAATGACCTGCGACAATGTGCACTCTTCTAGACCACTTACCCTATCCAACATCGGCTGAGTTATTTGAAATCTTTGTGTCTCAGTTCTACATCTACAAGTGCCTAAATGGCTTCCAGAGACTTAAGAAATTTACACGATCACATAATAATGATAATGAACATGAAGTATAGGTAACAGTACTTGTCACATACCTAGATATGGAAAACCCAAATTTGTTATGTTTTTATATTGAAAAGTCAATTGGTACTTTATTGGCATTTTATTCTCTGAATACACCTAATCACTGGAACCCTGGGCACATGCTTCAGCACACAGTAGTAATTTGTGTCAGTTAATGTTTCGTGATGGTCAGTTCTGTCTCCTCCATGGGGATAGAAACAATGTGTCTTTTCTTTTATACTCCTGTGATTAAGAAGCAGTTTAGTGTCATATTCAAGAGGAACCAGATTACCTAGGTCCATCCCTAGGCTGTCCTGCCACTTATCAGCTCTGTGATTTGGACAAGTGCATGAACTAATACTCCACTTATTTCAGGAGTTAGATATGTTTGATGAGAACAACAGAGCAGACATTATAGGTAGTGTGGGTTAAAGGAGCTAATACATACAAATAATTGAGAACGCTGTAGAGAACTTACACACACACACACAATACAATTCTCTCTTCCTTTACAGGTAAGATCAAGGATTATTCCAACATGGAGGGTCTCATCCAACATCCCCAGAGTGACTTGGAGCTCTAGTCTGACGATCTTATGCTGGCAAATTCTCCTCTCTACCCCTCGCAGAAAAAAAGGCACTTACTCCTTCCGGAATTTATCTCAGATATCCTAGCATTTACTTACAGAATTGCAACCCTTAAACTGTTCAGTGTGGTCTCACAGACCAGCTCAAAGACATGACTCGTCTGGCAGATCATGCAACCCCAATTCTGTAAGCTTTCATTTCTTTCATTGTAAATGGCACCAGTGATAGTTATATTGTAGGGGGATTGTCTTGACTGTACATAATAAGGATCCCTCTCTCAACTGCTCCTTGCTACTTACTGGAAGTCTCTAGGTGGTGATATGATGGACAGTGGCCTGACCTATGTTCTCTCAGTCCCCACACAAGTCTTTAACTCATGAAGAAACAGTGTCAAATAAAGATTCTGGAGCACAAGTCCTGGGATCAGGTGGGAATGAAAGTATAAGCACAACCCATAACAGCTTCCTGGAAAGCCCTGGAAGAGCCTCAGAGAATGCGAGCCTGAGTCTGGGAGCCCAGCTGGGGACTGGCTGTGGTTGCGCCTGTTGGGAAGGATGTGGTGGGCACAGACCCTGGGAGGGGATTTTGTGCATATTGTCTCTACAGTTCTAGTACAGTGTAATCCCATCCTGCACAGTAGTAAATGGCCATGTCTTCTTTCTCTACGGACTTGATGGTAAGGACTGAAGTGAGAGTTCGAGAATTCTTTCTTGCTTCCACTTTGTTGCTCCTCTTACCCATGCTGCCATGAACTGCGGATTTTGTTGAGACAATATAGATCAGATGCTCCAAAGCCTGATTCGGTTTCTGCCAGTACCAGTGAATGACATCGTTTTCAAAGTTTGTGCTCCGTATCTTGCAAGATATGTCAATACTTTTCTTAACTTCCGTGGAAATGGATAGCTGGAACTGCTCCACTTTCGATAATCCAAGTGTAACTGTAAGTAAAAGAGGAGAATTTCCAATGAACATCTGAGAGTGGAAGAGGGAAACATTGAAGAATTATTTTGGTCATGCAGCTAGACTGAAATGTTCAGACAGCAACTCACGTGCCCAGAAGGACGAGAAGGCGAATGCTTCCAGCAGTGACATCCTGTCTTCAGGGCGGTGTCCCCAAGGAGAAGGCAGGAAAGTGCGGACCTGGTGGCTAGACACCTCGGGTCAGGGGCTGGAGGGTGTGGCCTGAATTGGAGAGAGAAAAGAAAGTGGTTTTTTGGGCCCTTCAGTGCCGCCTGCAGGCTCAGCACTGCGCCCCCGTCCTGCTCACCCTGCTTATCTCAGATCAGGCTAGCAGTCTCGACGGGGTTCTCTGCCCGAATTTGAGGGGGCCATGGGGATTGCTTAATTTCTATGGAAATGAGAAGGATTTCTAATTGCTTAGGAGTTGTTCATAAACACTTTTCCTCAGCATAATATTTTAAATTGTTGCATATTTAATAAACATTAACTTTTATAATAGCAAATACTTACTGAGCATTTTCTATTTGCTAGCCTTTTTTTTCTAAATGATTTTCACCTTCTAATCTTCACAATGATCACGTAATATGGGTACTTGGAATTTTCATTTTATGGATGAGGTAATGAGGCACAGAGTCATCAAGTAACTGCACAAAAGTCACACAGCGGATAGGTAGAACGTGCTGGTAACGGTGCTGGTCGAAGAAACTCAGAGCAATGGGGAAAGATAACAATAAAAACGTCTATGGTCATATCACGAAGGCCCACTACTAGTCGTATTATCATATGCTCGACTGTAGATTTTTTCATTGTAGATACATGAATATTAATATGATTTTATGGACTATAGATATATTTACATGTATAGTATTCTGTATTCTTTCAGTTCAGCTTATATTCTGAGCAGCTTCCCATGTCATTGGAGAATTTTTTATTTATATATATTTTTTAAGACAAGATCTTGCTCTGTCGCCCACCCTAGAGTGCAGTAGCACACTCATGGCTCACTGCAGCCTCATCCTCTCAGGCTCAAGCAATCCTTTCATCCCCAGCCTCTTGAGTAACTGGGACTACAGGCGCACACCACCATGCCTGGCTAATTTTGTATTTTTTATAGATACGGGGTTTCATCGTGTTGCCCAGGCTGGCCTCCAACTTCTGAGCTCAAGCAATCCACCCACCTCAGCCTCCCAAAGTGCTAGGATTACAGGCGTGAGCAACGGCACCCAACCAAAACATTTTAAAATGTCTAACTGTTCATCTTTATCACACAGGGACTGCCTCACCCTATGCAGACTTCTTAATCTCTTTGCGTCTCAAATCTCTCATCCGAAAATGGGTACAATAATAACACCGGTATTAAAATTTTTATGCAGACTGAATAGCCAAGTACACCTAGTATAGCTCCTGACATACAGTAAATTTTCAGTAATTAGTAGATTTTATTATTACTACTACATTTTTATCTCCCCCCTATTTTTTATTTTTATTTTGTAGAGATAGGGTCTTGCTATGTTGGCCAGGATGAAGTACAGTGGTATAATCATGATTCACTGCAGCCTTGAATTCCTGGGCTCAAGCCATCCTCCTGCCTCAGCCTCTTGAGTAGCTAGAACTACAAGCATGCACCACCATGCACAGTTTCCCTCCATTTCCAGCCATTTAATTTCCCCAACAGTTTTCATTGTTAAAATGCTTTGCTGACTGTTTTGAAGTGGTAACCCAGCTAAATCAAGGGAAACCAGTCAAAAATTGTTAGTACTTCATTTTCCCACATTAAGGAACTTCTCTTCCCCTCCATTCGGTTCCATTTTATGATTTCCATGTGGCCTTCTTGGAGATCTTCTGGTGCCTCAGGGCTCCTTTAACCGACAGTGATTGTCCCTGTCACTTTTGTCCAGCTCTGACTCATGTTGTGTGGGACAGGTGTGAACTCTGACAGCTTGGGTCCTCCCTAGGAGACAGGAGAGGAAGCAACTGGCTCGGATGGCTCCTCCTAAAGCAGTTGCCCTGTTCACCCTCTTTTTTGATAAATACCATTTCTGAGATACTCAATGCTGGGGAGTTGAATGTTGAGGAGGTAGAGGTCAGCAGACCAACGGGCCTGTGGCTACAACTAGAAGGACTCACTCTTCCCCTGCACAGGATGTGTCCTGGGAATGGGAAGGAGGAGAGGGCGCCCACGCTGCAGGCTGAGCCAGTGTGCAGGGCCCGGCTCAGAGCCCTGGTGCTGCCACAGCTAGGCCAGCCACAGTCACCCTGGAACTCACCAGGCACCCTGCACACTCCATCCCTGCAAGACAGTTCCTTCCAGACCCTGCAACTCCAGCAGCCGTGTGTGTGTGTGTGTGTGTGTGTGTGTGTGTGTGTGTGTGTGTGTGTTGGGGAGGTTGTGAGGAGTATGTCTAATTGCTGGAGTCCACAGTCTACCTGACTACCTGGAATAAAGGCTGAGAAAATGCATCTCAGAGGCAGATGAATTCATTCATTCACCAAAACCCATGAAGTAAAAATTCCCTAAACACAGGAAAGGATTACTAGCAGTCTAGAAGAAAGACAAAAGGACACTTTAAAGACACTTTTTTGTTTGTCTTTTTTATTGGTTTTTTCAAACAAATAAAGGGAACAAAGGCATAATTTATATTATTGAAAGTATTGTCAGAAAACAGATATTCACTTTTCATAATATTAATAGTTTGCATTAATTGAGGACATTGTCTGTGGCAGGCTCTGTGCTACAAGCACCTTTGTCCATTATCTATCAAGTGAGGGTTCTTATTATTGTTCCCATTCTCCAGATGGGAAAATAGAAGCTTTGACATAGCAGGCATTTTTTTCAAGACCAAGGCATTTTTACAGAGCAGGTATTTTGTCCAAGTATGCACTTTGTTCTGGCAGGAGGTAAGTGACAGGACAGTAATTTGCAACAGAGGGTCTAACTCTAGAACCTGTGTGCTTAATGAAACCTTTTATTTCTCCCAAATATATCAATTATATAGATATATGTATACGCAAACATATATACATATATAATGTAATTGTGCATGAATACATTTATTCTTCTTTTCTGTTGCAGATAGAAATATTTCTGGTTGTGCCATTTTGATTACCCAAACAGGAAAAGAGAGAGACCCAAACAGGAAAAGAGAGAGAGAGAGAGATGGAGAATAACACAGGCTTTTGACTGAACACCTGAAATATCAAAAGAGCACATTAAATTCTTTTTAAAAATATTCTCACATAATTTGAGCAAAGAGGAAAGCAATCTCATTAGCTCAGAGGAAATTGCAGATGATTGCTGGTAACCAGGCATCTTGTCTTACTCAGTCTTCTTTGCCTCCCAGGACAGGTCAGAGGCTTCAGGTCAGTGTCAGGTGTGTGTGATCGCTGGTGTCAGGAAAGGAGGTAAATGGTTCAAGCAGGACTACTGTTCCATGTCATCCCTGGAGGTTTCAGATACATGTGGATAACATTAGCCAGGTTGCAACAACAACAAACCCACCTAGTTCATTTACAAATAATTAGATAGTTAAACAGCAGTGAGACAGAGATAGAGACAGAGAAGAGATAGCAGTGGAGGTGGAGGTAGAGATAAGTGTATTTAGTGAAGATTATAATATTTCAGCAAATGTCCCTGAGGGAAGGTTTTCTTGATTAGTTGTCCAAACCATTTCACACAAGGATGTAGACAAAAGTGAAATTTCAAATAACAAATACTGGCAATTAGTACTTACTGAGCCTTTTCTTACTCCAGGCTTGATGTCAGCATTTGTATTTATTATCTCAACTAACTCACAACAGTCACTGAGCCTGTCACACAGAAGACAAAGCTGCAGACGCTCAGGTTGACTGAAGCCCTCTGACTCCAGAGTCTGTACCCTTGACTTCACACCATGGTGTCACTTATGCGAATGACATTTTTCATGATCATCAGTTTTTCCACAAGGCTCTGGAATGTAATGTCTGGTGGCTGAATTGAAACATTATTTTCATTAGTTCTTTAATGATTATTTTTGTGTAAACTAATTTTGTCTTTCCATGGGTTAGGAAGTCTGCTAGATTCAATTATCAAAGCCTTGTATCTTGTCTGTGTGGCTTTATCACGAATTATCTCTAAACAGACCCCCTCTACTCCTCAGAGCACAAATAAGGCTTCTTTTACTAATTAACAAAAGGCATGCCCTTAGGCAGAATACTTAGACAAAGACACCTTTCTCCAGCATGTCACAGCCCAGCTCCAGAGTGTGCAGGGGGTGGGTGTGAGATGGGATTTTGGTTCCCACTGGCTGCTCCTCTACCCAAGTGACTTTGAGCAGGGCACAGCCACCCAGCTAACTTTGAGCAGGGCACAGCGGTGGAACGTGCACACTCTATCATTTTAATGCAGAGGGAAATGCACACAACCTATACCTGTCATCTCTGTCATTCTGATATTGCGAGACACTAAACTTACCAACTTAAAATAGTTTCACCAGGTTAAAGCAGCCTCTTTCAGATGGGCTCGGTCTCTTTGTGGTGCCTGCTTAGGCTTTTCTGTGTTTCTCTCTCTTCCTCCTTCTCATCCCCTAGATGACATCGCTACCCAGGGGCAGGGTGTGTGAATGAGTTCTTAGCATTGTCTTCCTGCTACCCTCTGCATCCTCAACAACTTCCAGCACTTTGCCCTGCTGATCTCAGGGATTTCACTCTTTCCTCTAAACGGGTTGGTGTAATAACCAGACTGAACTTACCATCATTGATCACACCATGCCCTTGGGATGTAAAGTTCCCTTCCTGCAACTTCTCATCCAAATCCCAGGTGCTGTGCTCACCGGCCCCCTCAGTACTTTTGTATCCTCTCAGAGACCCTGAGAAGCATCTGGGACTCCTACATGCACAGCCTGTGTGGAAAGTGGTGCGCAGCTTGGGCTCACCTTTGCAAATGTCTTCCACTTTTGATGAAGTTCTACCAGGGCCATATTAGGGAAGCTTTCTGATGCAGAGCCAGACACTCACAGATTCTCCATTTCTGTCTTGGGTTTCATTGGATTCTCTATCCCTCTGGCATAAGGCCTCAGAGGCAAGGGAACCAGGAAGTTCCTTCACGTAATGCTCTACCCTCTCACCTCCCCACCGCTGCACTCTCCAGCCAGAAGGAACAGCGCCTTCTCCCGGGAGGGTGTTAACGCCACTGATATCATATGCTGAGTCTTCATATCCAGCAGCTGTACAAAAATTCTGTGTTCTTAGTTTGCCAGGGTGGCCTTTTGACCTATGAATGAGAGAATCACAACTTTAGAAAACTTCTTTAAAAAAAAATTGAACCTGATTTTCAAGCCCAACATTCACAATTAATTCAAAAA